CTCCCCCCCCCGCGGCCGCAACCCCCCCCCCCCCCGCAGCCATTATGTCATCTTGGGCGGTTGGCTCGTGGTCCATGGAAAGGTCTGCATTGAGTGGGGTGGGTCGTGGGCCAAAAAGTTTGAGAACCGCTGATGTAGACAAAGTCTTAGTCTTCTCAACTTAGCCCCTAGCCTGCACGCAGATCCAAGAAAACCCCCTTGGATTTCAGCCTACAGCTTTAACAGCTTTAACCACACTACCATGGTACCGTTCTCCCTTTGAGCTGAATGGGGTTTTGCAGGGTGGTAGCCCCTAGCCTGCACGCAGATCCAAGAAAACCCCCTTGGATTTCAGCCTACAGCTTTAACAGCTTTAACCACACTACCATGGTACCGTTCTCCCTTTGAGCTGAATGGGGTTTTGCAGGGTGGCTTCCTTTAGGATGAGAAATTGGTAGTGGGTCTAGCCCACTCTTGGGGTAATTTACTTATAAAAACGTACACCGAGTCCTGATTACCTGAACACAAGTAAGCCCCAAGCCTGTCCCTCCAGCAATCTCTGTGCCAAGAAGCTCTGTCTGTCTGCTTCCCCCCAAGGGCATGCTCCGAACTTCTCGTCCCCGCCTCCCACATGTGCCAATTGCATCCAATAGGCTAGTCAGTGGCTACGTTCACAACTTTGGAACCCCCAAGTGAATGTGGCTTCGCTGTGATCTAGTACTTGGGCAGTCACCTCTCTTGTTTGCAGCTCTCTTTGCTACATTAAGGGGATTGATTGCTCCTTCTGTTGACCCAGAGAGTGCTCGACCACCCACTGGCTTTAATGAGATCTGATTGGTGTTGGATGCAAGACCCCACTGTTGGCAGCCAAGAGCATCTTCCAGCCTCACACCCACTTCAAAGCTTGGCGGAGGGAGAACAGTCTTGTGGCTAAAGCAAAGGGCAGGTACTCAGGAAACCTGCCTCCATTTCAGGGCTCTGCCCTCAGTTTCTTGTGTGACCCTGGCCAAGCAGCATATGGTCTGATGGCAGTCATGTTTCCTTTCTCCCACTTTTCGTCAGAGCTGTGCGGACAGAGCAGTCGGCTGGAACTCAAGTTATTAGAGACTCAGGAGACTCCCAGCTCTGTCACTGGCCTGTCGGGTGACCTTGAACAAGTCATTGCCCTGCCTGTGCCTCAGTTTCCCCACCTCTAACACAGCGATAAGGATCCTGATCTCCCTTACCACGTGCTTGGAGATCTAGGGATGAGAAGGGCTGCATAAGAGCTAGGTCTGATCGGTATTATTTAGGGCAGGGACCATCTCTCAATGCACCCGCCACGTGCTTGGAGATCTAGGGATGAGACGGGCTGCATAAGAGCTAGGTCTGATCAGTATTATTTAGGACAGGGACCGTCTCTCAATGCACCCAGCCTTCAGGTCCTCTAAGTGCCGCCATGACCCCAACTAATAAATAATATTGAGATGAGGGAACGAGGTGGAAAACTGGTAGAGAAAAGTGTCATGAGACGGGATGGAGCGGGTTCTCAAAGGGCCCTGAGCACAAGGAAGGAATATTGAACTGAAATCCCTGAAATGAAAGCCCTGGCCACCTGGCCTTGAGGCAATAAAACACTTATATTAGTGCAGTTATTTATATTGCTGGAGTGCCCAGAAGCCCAGCCACAAACTAGGACCTCATTGTGCTGGGGGCTGGACAAACGTAGAACAAAAAGAAAGAGAGTTTACAATGTCAAGCCCGAAGACACAGCTGAGTCTATGTTACATTTCTGCCGCCGGAGCTGGGTCAGTCAGGGGTGGGAAGACGGGTGAACCCCTTGGCCCGTGCTCCACATGGAGATGCAAAGCTGAGCTTTTATCCATCTTGCTTGTTTTATTCAGGGGCGGTGAAATAAATTATACCGATTAGAGCGGGGTGGGGAAACTGTTTTGGATCAGGGGCCACGAACTCCCAGAAAAATCAGTCGGGGGCCACACACAAATGAGAAGCAAAAAAACCACCCTAAAAGAAACCTTCACTGATGTGATCCCTGACTGAGGAGAAAGACTCCCCTCACACACCAGAGCCTAGCGGGGGGCCGAGCCTAGTAGATTTTGTGTGTTCCAGCCCTATGGTGGGGCAGTGAGGGCAGGGCTGGAATGCCAATGCTGGTTCCCCACTGCTGGGGGCGTGACCCTGAGCCTTGGGGGCCAGATTCAGGCATGCTGGGGGTCACATCCAGCCCTGGGCCTGAGGTTCTCCACCCCCGGATTAGAGTGTCCACACTTGGCATACCGTATGCTATCTATTTTAGAGAGTTTGCGCGTCTGTCTGTCTGTGTGTCCATCCGTTTGCAGGGCTGTTTGTTCAAGAACTCCTTAAAGAGTTAGGACCACCAAATTCGGCAGGCAGCTCCCTCTTCTCATACCTTAAAGCAAGGCCAGGGTTTGGCTGTCCCAGGACAATAAGATGTGCCTGGAATGGGATTGTTTCCCATCAATGGAGAGGAAGGGGTGTGACAGCAAGGACAGTTATACTCATGAATGACCACAGGGGGGCAGCAGGTGTCCTAGCCCTGGGGAGCAGCTGCTGGCTGGCAGCACAGCCCCTGCCGTGTTAGGCTGCCCCATGGAGCAGCTCTGATTAGGCTGCATGGTGCCTGCTGCCCCAGGCCAGCCATGGGGAGAAGCTAGCCTGCGCAGCCCCCTCCTGCCACACTGGGCTGGCCCCAGGGAGAAACCAGTGGGTGGGCAGCATGAATCTCCCCCCCCTTCCCCCTCTGTTGGCCTCAGGGCCTGCCACCTCTGAGCAGACCTGGCCCTGGGCAATACCGGGTAAGTCTTCCAGTACCTAAATATAGATGATCCATTGGGAAACTTTTCTTTCTTTATTCTAAGAGCAGCTATGTCAACATTGCTAGGAAGCCGGCCAAATCCACCAGCCACCTTGGTTTTCCGAGTTCCCCGCTTTAGGGAGGGTTGAATGCAGATCTTCACAGCTGCCTGGGGAAACAAGGAAACCTGTTCTCTGAGCCTTACACCTCCTCCTCTGACCCTCAGGGCTATTCCCCATTGCTCTTGCTACAGATTTTTTTTTAAAAAAGAAGAAATGTTTAACCCTCCGCTCCCTGCCTCCTGCCCTCTTTCAGATCCTCCACAAGTCCTCACGAGAGGAGGGGGAACAGCTAAAAATCCCCATCGCATGCATGCATCCCTAGAGAGAAGCCAGGTCTCTTGGAAGACTTGAGAAAAGGGGGTGCAACTGATTTTGCAGCTTTCCCCCTCTGGTTGCACCGAGCCTGGTCTCTCTGTCTGTCTCTCTCTCCAGGCGGAGTTCTCAATTCCCCAAGGCCGGATATCATTCTCCAGCGAGAGGAGAAAAAAAAAATCCATCGCTCCTCTCTCTCTCTCGCACACACAGCTAGACAAGCGCACTCCACGCATCTCGGCACCTGCCGCCTTCCCTGTAGCCTCTCTAGCGTTTTGCCTGCAATTTCGGGACCTAGCAGCGCTGAGCCTGCAGGGCTATTTATTTATTTATTTATTTTTATTGCTCCTGTGTCTTTGCACAGGTAGCTGCCCCCCTGGCAACCCCCCCCCACGCTGCGCGCGGGAGCAGAGAGACCCTGTTCCCAAAGCCGGGAATCGCTCAGCCTCCAGCCGGTTCGGCGCCACGTAAGCCCAGGACCGGGAACCCAAGCGCTCCAGCGATGCCTGCTTCTGGCGGAATCGGGGCCGGTTCTTTCCTCGTGCTGCCTTTTTATCCTCGCCGGGCTCCAGGACTTTGAGCCAAAAAAAAAAAAAAAAATAAAGATGCAACTGACCAAAGGTGAGTCAATTTCACTTTGCCTGGGTAATTGACTAAGGTAAGACCTGGGGCTTAGGGGTCGCCGCAGACGTGCCCCCACCGGGAAAGGAAGCAAGAGGCAACCTTGGATTGGGTCAGGACCAGCGGGAGGGCCCGATTCCGCTCTGCGCGGCACAGGTGTAAATCCGGAGCGACTCCACTAACTTCCTGTTTACACGGATCAGAATCCGGCCTCGGGGTCGGTCAACGGGAATGGCAGAACCCGACGGTCTGATTTCACGTGTGCACAGGGAAGGGTGAAAACCAAAGAGACTGAGGTAGAGACCGGCTTGGTGGCTCTGACCTTCTCAGAACGGCTTTGTAAATGGGGGGAGGCAGCATGTTTCAAGCGAAAGGTAAAAGGAGAACGAATTAACCCCCCCCCCGTCCCGCCCATAGACCTGCGGGCAGATGAGGGGGGCTCCTGGGAGGGGCGGTGCGTGTTAAATTTATAGCAGCTGAGCCTCAGCAATTTGAAATCCGATGAGATCCTAGATCACTGCAAAGGGAATTTACTTTCAGCCCCTAGAGGTGCGATTTTCACTAGATCCCCGGTTAACCTGCTGGGGGGAGGAGGGGGGGTTGCTTTTCCCTCACTGCAAGGGGGAGGGGCCTTCCTCTACTGCGTGTGGGGGATTCCCTCAATACACCGTCAGGGCTTCTCCCCCCCCGCCCCTCCAAGCTTCGAGACTCCGCTTGCATTTCAATCCGGAGCAGATCTGGCGCCCTCTGCTGGTTCTGGAACGAAGGCAGAAGGGGGCGGGGAACAGCCCGTGGAAATTATAGACAAGTCGCAGCCCGGTAGCACCCTAGTAGAGACTGGCAGAGCTAGAGAGATGGGCTGTCGTGGGCCCAGCCCACTGCCTCAGATGAGCAGAGGGGAGGAACAAAGGAAGGGGGGTTGCCCAGGAAAGCTGATGATCCTAGATATGGTTTTGTTAGCCTCTAAGGGGGGGGGGGAGT